GGGCCCACCAAACGACGACAGCTGCAACCAAAAAATAGCTGGGCATTGTGGCAGGCGCCTGTAGTCCCAGCTACTTGGGAGGTGGAGGCAGGAGAATTGCTTGAGCCCAGCAGTTGGAGGTTGCTGTGAGCTGTGATGCCACAGCACTCTACTCAGGGGTCTGTAGTCCCAGCCACTCAGGAGGCTGAGGCAAGAGGATCATTTGAGCCTGAGAGTTTGAGGTTGCTGTGAGTTATGATGTTCCTGCACTCTACTGATGGCAAAAAAGTGAGACTCTGTCTCAAAAAAAAAGTAATCTGTAAGGGTGTAATTTTCATGTGGCTATGATGATGCCACTCTACTCCAGCTATGGCAACAGGAAATTCTGTCTCCAAAAAAAAAAAAATTCCCTTAATAAGTATGATTTATTTATTTTATTTGAGACAGAATCTCATTATGTCACCCTCCACTGAGGGTGGGGGGTAGGGCGCTGGCCCCATATACTGAAGGTGGCGGGTTTGAACCCAGCCCCAGCCAAACTGCAACAAAAAATAGCCGGGCGTTGTGGCAGGCACCTGTAGTCCTAGCTACTCAGGAGGCTGAGGCAAGAGAATTGCCTTAGCCCAAGAGCTGGAAGTTGCTGTGAGCTGTGATGCCACAGCAATCTACTGAGGGCAACAAAGTGAGACTCTGTCTCTAAAAAAAAAAATCTGAAGTTGGATAATTGCTAGGGCTATGTAAAAGAATTAGGAAGTACAGGCTCGGCACTTGTAGCTCAAGCAGCTAAGAAGCCAGCCACATACACCAGAGCTGGTAGGTTTGAACCCAGCCCGCACCTGCTAAATAATGACAACTACAACCAAAAAATAGCTGGGTGTTGTGGTGGGCACCTGTAGTCCCAGCTACTCGGGAGGCTGAGGCAAAAGAATTGCTTAAGCCCAGGAGTTGGAGGCTGCTGTGAGCTGTGACGCCACAGCACTCTACCTAGGGCAACAGATTGAGGCTCTGTCTCATAAAAAAGAATTATAAAGTATAAATTGAAATATCAAGGGCTTTAAAATAAGTAACGCAGGGCAGGGTGTGGTGGCTCACACCTGTAATTTTAGCCCTCTGGGAAGTTGGGGGTGGTGGTGGTGGATTGCTTGAGCTCACAGATTTGAGACCAGTCTGAGCCAGAGCAAGACCTCGTCTCTAAATATAGCAGGGCGTTGTGGCAGATTATAGTCCCAGCTACTCTGAAGGCTGAGGCAAGAGAATCATTTGAGCCCAAAGTTTGAGGTTGCCGTGAGCTATGAAGCTACCAAGGGGAGGATTACTTGAGGTGAGGAGTTCAAAAT